GAGCCTGTGTGAACTGCTGCCTCAGTTTCCTGTTCTTAACTGACGGGAGTGACACCTGTTGTGGTCTTCTGCTGCTTTAGCACATCCAATGTTGAAATATAAATATGTAATGGCCCTGGTGTCATGATTGCTGTGTTTTTCAATATGAAGTTATTTGGGGTTGACACTGTAATGCAGAGGTGCACCAAAAGGACACTTTAACAGAGTGAAATCCTTATTAATATGAAATATTATCACGTGTGCATTTCTTACTGTGACATGTTCAAGTCTCTGCCAAGGAAAAGCGAAATTTTAGAACACAAGGGTTAAAATATATTTCAACACCTGGCTGCTTTTGCTTTAATAAAATTATTTTCTTTATTAAAAACTAAGTAATTGTCTGCACAGCTTTATTTATTTATTTTACTGGTGTCAAATGATCAGTGTGGCAGTGCTACTGATTTCAATGTCCACTAAGCTTCATTGCTTCTTTAATTTGGGCTTGAAGCGCAGTGTCTGGAATGCGCTCTCCACCACTTTGGGCAGGTGGATCGGGTTTCTCTGAAGTCGCAGCCTGCTGCTCGTGGACCCGCTCTGTTTCTTCTTCGTGGGGATCCTTTCGTTGGCACAGTCAGGAACTGCTGTCTGGTCCGAAGCATCTGAGACTCGAGGAACTCGCAAGACCCAGTTAGAGTGGAGGTCATGTTCGGCCGAGCTGGAGGCCACTGTGGGAGGAAATGACAAGAACCCGAGGAAGCATTTAGTATCTGTGCAAGTGGCAGCCATAATTAAAGCTAGTTGAAAGAAAAGCTTTGCTGTTAGCATCGATGCGCTGTCTGAAAGGAGCTTTCAAAGCCTAACGTAAAATAATCATTATTTTCATTATTTCATACTTTCCCTGTGAGGTTGAGTTGGCAATGGGGTGAGCTCAAGCTGGAATTCTCAGTGTTTCAACTACAAAGTACAACTACTAGGTTGTACTTTGTTTTACTGTTTTCTTGACTTGTACTCATGGCTTTTATTAATGAGAATATTTTCACTAGGTTGTAGGTGTTTAAAGAGCTGCTTTTAGCTGCTCCCTTCACAAGGACCTGCCACAATAGGTAGCTCTGCATATTTGATTTGGCAGATCTGTACTCCAGGTGCCATTCATGACACAACCACACAGGGGTGTGTCCTCCTGGGAATGAGCTGGGGATTTTTCCCTTGTTAAATAAATGTGTAAACCAATACACTGTGGAGCTACTGGGTCACCCATGTTTACCGGGTTTAAACAGCCTCCGTGAAAGGATTCACGAAAGCCTGATATTTGATATATTTGTTTTGTAAACCTCTCCAGGATGAATGAATCTAATCCTTAGCAGCAGCTGAACTGAAATTATGGATCTGGCCTCAAACAGCTCAGTCAGTGTATATTTATATCTCCCAAATTATGTCTACCGGTCTAATTAACATAGTTTAATAACAATTGCTGCATTTAATTCAGTGTGGCACCACTGCTCTTGTGATAAAACTCATCAGATAAAGATAAACAAAGATAAATCTTTACAAGCATTTTTCTTTACTGCTACAAGCAATAAGCTTAATACTGATACCAATGCACACCTTGAGCCTAACATATATCCTTGGATAATGTTATCTGTGCTACATGGATAAGATTACCAGTAACCAACACAGACAAATGAGGTGTTAAATGTACGACATTTTCACATGAAGATGAAGTTGCAAGGATTTATACAACGTGACTGAGCTTTTGTTACGAGTTAGTCTGATAAAGCTGAAATTTGTCCCAAATCGTCAGGTATAACAAAACCGAGAGGGAACTACGAACACACACAAAAACATCTCAGTGTGTGTGCTCTCATTAGCAGGGGTGTTTCCATGATTTTTAAGTGAGGTGGCTTCATAATAATAAAGCAGCTGGATTGAAGCACAAAAACACAGCGAGAAAACAGATAATAAAATATATTAGCTGTGCAACAGCAGAGTGGTAAGAGGTAAGTAGTATTGTCTCAAGTATTCTCTTTCAACTCCTTCAAACTTTACAAATGTTTTTACAGATGGGGAGAATCAAATTGAAATAAGTGCTGACGGTAAACAATGTATACTACATGTAAGCCAGACCCCCCCCCCC